AGGGATGGAGGTTTCACATGGGCTCAGCAACATGGACTTCCACTCACCAAGGCTGACTTGGCTACAGCCACTGTTGATTGCCCAGAGTTTGCCAACAGCGGAGACCAACACTGCGTCCCAGATATGGAACCATCCCCTTGAGGTGATCAGCCAGCAACCTGGTGGCAAGTTGATTACATTGGACTGCTTCCATCATGGAAAGGGCAGAGTTTTGTTCTTACTGGAATAGACACTCTGGATATGGATTTGCCTTCTCTGCATGCAATGCTTCTGCCAAAGCTGCCATCCGTGGACTTACAGAATGCCTTATCCACCATCATGCTATCCCACACAGCATCGCCTTGGATCAAGGGACTTGCTTCACAGCAAACGAAGTGTGACAGTGGGCCCATACTCATGGAGTTCACTAGTCTTAGCATGTTCTCTATCATCCTGAAGTAGCTTGCTTGATAGAACAATGGAATGGCCTTCTGAAGACACAATTACAGCACCAGCTAGGTTGGGGCAGTGTTCTCCAGGAGGCTGTATATGCTCTAAACCAGTGTCCAATATATGGTGTCCTTTCTCCTATAGCAAGGATTCATGTGTCCAGGAATCAGGGGGTGGAAATGGGATTGGCACCACTCACTATTTCCTCTAGTGACCCACTTGCAAAATTTTTACTTCCTGCCCCCATGACCCTATGCTCTGCGGGTCTAGAGGTCTTAGTTCCAAAGGAAAGAATGTTCCCATCTGGAGACACAGCACTCATTCCATTGAAGTGCAAGTTGGGAATGCCACCTGGCCACTTTGGGTCCCTTATGCCTGTAGATCAACAGGCTAAGAAGGGAGTTACCATATTGGCTAGTGTGACTGATTACCAAGAGCAAATTGAATTGGTATTACATAATAGGGGTAAAGAAGATTATGTCTGGAATGCAGGAGATCCCTTAGGGTGTCTCTTAGTACTACCATGCCCTGTGATTAAAGTTAATGGAAAACTACAGCAACCCAATTCCAGCATGACTACTAATGACCCAGACCCTTCAGGAATGAAGGTTTGGGTCACCCCACCAGGCAAAGAACCATGACCAGCTGAGGTGCTTGCTGAGGGCAAAGGGAATATGGAATGAGGGATGAAGGTAGTTCTAAATACCAAGTATGACCACATGACCAGTTGCAGAAATGAGGACTGTAATTATTATTTCTGCTTGTATGTATGCATCAAATATTTTTGTTTTCCTCACCTGTAAAATATAAGGTGTAAATGGGGCTAGTGCGTTTTTGGTTGTACACATTTTAGTTGTATCACGTTAGGTGCAAGTATGACTTTATGATTGTCTTTATTCATAGATTATGTATGGTTTAAGGAGATGTGTACAGGTGCCAAGTTGATGGGGTAGACTGTGATCAGTAAGATTGTGTGTCAACTTGGCTCGGCCATGATTCTCAGTGGTTTTACAGTTATGATGTAGTTTTGCATTCGTATGATGTGATCACTTTCATGACGAGATTTGATATAATGTGATTATCTCCATGATGAAATCTGATACAATATGATCATCTCCAAGATTGGATCTGCTGTGAGTAGCCACTCAATTGAAAGGAGTTTCCTGGGAGTGTGGCCTGCATCCAATACATGTGGACTTTCTGGCAAAGCTTGCTGGCTTTTGCTGTGCTCTGGATCCTGCATTTGGCTTGTCAGCATCTGACCTTGAAGACTTGGGCCAGCAACCTCCATTCTTACCTGCCGATCTTAGATTTGTCAGCCTTCACAGCTGTGAGCCAGTAGCCTGCCGTCTGACCTGTGGATCTTGGCTTTTTCAGCCCCCGCAGCAACTGAGTCAGGGGAAGCCTCTGGCCTGATGCCTGACCTGTGGACTTGGGACTTGCCGGCCTCTACAACTGCATGAGCCATTTCCTTGAGCTATATCTCTTTCTCTCTCTCTCTTTCTTTCTCTCTCTCTCTCTCTATATATATATAGTGTGTGTGTGTGTATATATATGTATGTACATATATATATGTTTCTCTGGAGAACCCAGCCTAAGACAGCTTGTAAGAGTTCTTTATTGATAACTGTTATAGCAGCTATTATAGCTTTTATAGCTGTTGTCTGCACTGTTTCTCTTTTCTTCAAGTTATTTTGTTTTGATTGTATTTACCTCTGTTTTTAGAGTCCTTCAGATTTTTTGTAATCTGTGGCTGTATTTTCTTGTTCAAGAGTCAGTCACTGAAAAGTTGGTTGGACTTTGTCTATAGCTTGTTGGGCATGTTGACTAGTGGGCCTCACTGTAGATGAGTGATTGTCAAGAGCGTGCCAAATGCCATTGTCTACAGATCTTTTTCTTGTGGGCTAGACAGTTTCTCCAGAGAGGAATCTTCCAGGCTCCTGGCTCGCAGTGTGGATTGCTGAGAAGGATAAGGGAGCTGTGGGGTCTTAGCACTGAGGAAGCACTTCCCCTTGGTCCTTCACTCTCAGTCTCGCCTTTGCCCTCAGTTCTGCCTGATGTTCCAGTGGGCAGAGCCTCCTTAGAATGTAGGAAGGAAGTCTCCAGTATTCTGCCAGGTGGGAGGCAGGCTGCTGCCCACTGCTGGGGTTGGGGTCTGACTGCTCTCAGACGAATCCCTCTGTCTGCAGTGCTGCCCTGCCTCCCCACCTGCCAAGGCAACTGGTGAATAACTCCCTAAGCCTTCTGTGTTCTGTGTAGAAAATAAGCTTGTTTTGTGTTGGCTTTCCCTTCTGCCAGCCCAGGCTTCTGCTTTCTGTCTGCAGCTCGGTCACCTTGCCAGCCTGCATCTGCTTTTCACCTCCCAAAATGTTACTTACTTCTCTCATCTGCTGTGACTTCTTCTCTTTGCCTTCCTGAGTTTATGTCCTTCTAGTCCTTTTCTGTCACATTAGTGTCTATTTGAGAGGGTGGGGAGATAGTATATATATTTACTATGTCATTTAATGATATTTTTCCCTCCTGTCCACTCCCATTCCTGTACTCCTTCTAGATTCTTAATGGAACCTCCCTTAAATGGACTTTTTTTTTAACCTCTGGCCTTCAAATGTATGAAATGTCTTGTTGTTAAGATGCTCCTATGGAGCAGATTCGACAATGAGCATTGGTCTGTTTTATAGCTCATGAAGCTCTGGTTACTGAAGCATTTTCCAGGAGAGACTGTCAGGGTTTTCTAGTAGTGTGGTATAGTGGAATAGCGTAAACTTTGGAGTCAGATTGACTTGAGTCCCGGCTCCTCTTACTTGCTCTGTGACCTAGGAAAAATTGTTTCCCTCTCTTATCCTCATTTCGCTTTTGTGTAAAACGAAGCTAACACCACCTACCTCAAGATTCTTATGCCTGGCATCTAGTAGGTGTTCAGCAAATGCTAGGTTCTCTTTCCGGAGGATAATTACGCTCCTGTGTTTCATATCCTTCGTGGGGGAAACCTTGTGATACTGGGGGCACTGTTGTCTGAGCGCTGTTTCCTGGTGATGGGGAGGAGAACCTGGGTACTGAGACAGGCTGTTCTGAAGAGTGGAACTTCCCACCTGTCTTAGTTATCTAGTGCTGCTATAGCAGAAACACCACAAGTGGGTAGCTTTAACAAACAGAAATTTATTTTCTCACAGTTTAGGAGGCTAGAAATCTGAATTCAGGGTGCCAGCTCTTAAGGGAAGGCTTTCTGTCTTTCGCTGTTGGCTCTGGAGACAGATCCTTGTCTCTCTTGAGCTTCTTCTCCTGGGCGATCTTCATGTGGCTTGACATCTCTCTTTCTCTGTCTCTGCTTGCTAGCTTATGTTTAATCTCTTTTATATCTCAAGAGATTCTCTCAAGATACACCCTACACTAATCCTGCCTCATTAATATAACAGAGACAACCCATTCCCGAATGGAATTATAACCACAGGCTTAGAGGTTAGGGTTTATAGCACATATTTGGAGGGACATAATTCAGGGGACACAGTGCAATCCATAACACCACACTTTTCCACAGAATGGCACGCATAGGAAATAATAAGATTTGTACAGCACACTGGACACTCTTCTGTAACAAGCAAGCTTGTGATTGGGGTCATCAGAGGCCATCAGCCTGGGAGCCCCCACTGCCACAGGCTCTGACCAGCTTTCCCCAGGGCAGAGCCAGTCTGGCACATGCCGTCCCAGTACACCTGTAATGAGTACATAGCACCACGCTGAGCCAGCGCTGTGTGGAGCTAACGGCCGTGGGCACTGGAGCCTCACTCTCCTGACCTTCGTTTCCCACGTGTAAATTGGAGAACAGTGGATGGATTTTTTAAAATGTGCCCAGCTCTGTGCCTGGCGTTGGAAGGCACTGCATACCTAGTACATGTCATCATTTGTCTTGTCCTCCTCCTCCTCCTCATTACTGTTGTTACTGATTCTTGGGAAGCTATAAAAACTGGTCACCAGCTCACTCTAAGACACAGGGCAGGGGTGTGGAGTTCCCAGTTGCCAGATAGGGTTGTGCCCTTGGGAAGAGAGCATCTGAACCTTGGTGGGTGTAGGATGTCAGAGGAAACAGACAGAGGTGGGCTCTGCACTCCTTTCTGCTCTTTCCTGGAGGATGCCTGTGTCGTTAGGAAACAGTTGCTTCCAGCCTTGTGGAATGGAAATAGCAATCTTTTCTTTCCCAGTCCCATTGGGCTTCATGAATTCCAGAGGATTCTCTTTGTATAGACTCTAAGCTTAGAGCTAGAGATGTTGAAGCAGGAAAAAGCATAGTCCAAAATACAAAAGGTAAAAGAGGAAATGCCAACAATAGAGGTCTGCTTGAACCTAGAATTAATTGGTAGGGGAGAGGGAGGTGCTGATCATGGGAGGGGTAGAGGAATGGTGAGGGGTGGTATCTGTAGCCAGTCCTTTTTATTGCTCTCCTGTTATTCTTGCATAATGGAGGGCTTCCTACTGGAGAGAAACCCTTCTTGAACTTCTTTTTCCCTCTGAGATGCTCTCAGGATTATTGAGGAGTGATTCTGTGGTCTTTGTAACACAACTTTATTTTTCTCTAGACCCTATATTTATGGTCCTACGTCCCAGGGAGAAAGGATGCAAATTCTCCAGAATTTCAAACACAACCCCAAAATCAACACCATCTTCATATCCAAGGTTTGTGTGGCGAGCAGGGTGGTGGTGAGGCCCCTTGAATATGTGTCAGTCAGCACCCCAGTCCCTGGGGGTGCACTGTATGATTTCTAGACAGCAAGTTTGTGTTTATTTAAGGAATCTCACGTTTAGATTTTCATTCCCACATGTCCAGCGTCTGGGGGCAGGTAACAGAGGGTTAGGTTGTGAAGAAGTAGATTTAAAATTTTAAGTGTAATGTGAGTAATCTGCAATGATTCTTTGTTTCATCAAGATTTTCCCTTCCTCTTTTTAGGATATAGGAATTTTGAATTGTATTTCCTTTTTAAAAGGAAAAAAAAAACGTTCATTTCCTGCTCGGCGAAAGCAGTCATTCAGACTCAGTTGTCTTTCTGGAGTTGGGGCCGTTGCGTGTTGTGGACAGCCTTTGTCCTGCCCCTGGTGGGCCTTGATGGGGGTGTCAGATGTAAGCACAGCTTGGACTCCCACATGCCCAGCCTTGTGGTGTACTTAATTTGCAGTTAGAAGCTGTGGCCCAACAATTTAAACATTCAGAGTAGGACAGACCCAAAGCCCGAAAGAAAAGAGATTTACCATAGATAGTGATTGTGGTTGGGTGAGAAAGTACCAGACTTTCAAGTCTGTAGCGAGTAACCACAATGCTTGGAGTCCCCAAGCTGAGGAGGCTACCAAGTATGAGTCCCGTCCAGTGGAGGACGGTGACCCTAACAGGTCATGTCACAGGTGTGCTGCTGTCTCAGTGAATGAGATGGATAGATTTGTGCAGACCTGTTTCTGTAGCTAAAAAAAAGAATCACTCAGAGTGAGTCTGTGTTGCTAGGGGCCTCTTACCTTTGGGCCTCTAGCACCCGGCACTGTGAGTGTTGCTCAGGCCTTTGGTGGTGTAGTCAGTGAGATGGTCGTTACATACACAGGGTGCGTACATTATCTTCCGCGAATTCACGCTAGGCCCTAGAGGCCCAGAAATGCATTTCTGAGTCTTACTGCTTCACCCCTGCCTGCATCCTGGTGACCCTGCTACATTGAGAAGATGACAGTGGTTTTTTTCTAAATTATCTACAGAGCGTATTTAAATTCTAGGCCAGTTGATTTGTTTTTCTTCTTTAGGTAGGTGACACATCGTTTGATCTGCCAGAAGCAAACGTGCTCATTCAGATCTCTTCTCATGGTGGCTCCCGGCGGCAGGAGGCCCAGAGGTTAGGGCGGGTGCTCCGAGCCAAAAAAGGTAAAGATGGTCTTTCCTGTTCTCACTTTTCACCCTCTTGATAGGAAGAGGGTAGGGCGAGCTGCTGGTGTGCTCAGCGACATCAGGCTTTGCTTCTGGGCTGGATTGACCCTGAAGGGAGGGAGTCACTGCAAGGACCAAGGTCTCCTTGGCGCTTATTAACATTTCTCATCCTTTGGGGTGTGTCTGGGGGCGTTTTCCATGCCACTGTCTGGAATTCACATGGGTGTCCTCTCAGCAGAGTAGTTGTGTTGGTGGATGGTGAGGTTATAGGGAAGAGCAGGGCAGTATAATGAGTAGTGTGGTGTAGTGTGTGCTACAGACATTAAAGGGAGAAAGCAGAGCTGGGCCACCAGAGAGAGTGTAGGAGTCGGCTGCTGTTCCCTGGGCCCTGAGTCAGGAGAAAGGGGAGGGCTTGGTGGGAGCACCTTCGGCAGTCACGGAGTGGACACGTGACTCATAACCTGGGCGACAGCTTGCAGCAGGGATGTCAGAGATTTGGTGAATGAGGAGGTAAGAGGAAGTGGGTGCTGCAGAGGCTCTTACTGAGGAGGCGTGGGGTCTCTAGGGGCTTATTATCTACTGCCATCGAGTCGATTCCAGCTCATAGCAACCCTACAGGACAGAGGAGAACTGCCCCATAGGGTTTCCAAGGCTGTAAATCTTTACAGAAGCAGACTGCCACATCTTTCTCCCTCGGAGCAGCTGGTGGGTTCAAACCACTGTCCTGTCAGTTAGCAGCCAAATGCTTAACCACTATGCCGTGAGGCCTCCTTCTAGGTACTTATTATCTGCAGTAAAAGGGGCCCAGACAGAAATCTTGGGGCAGCGGCTGCCCTTGCTGCTAAGAGATGACCATGTCTCTCCTTCTGGGGCCAGGGCCTGTCTCCTACGACAAGGAGGATACAGGATCTGTCCTCAGGGAGTTGCTTATCTTAGGAGGCAGCTGGACTGCTAGGATGTTTAAAAATGGCAAGATTAGCGGGCATATGTATGAATGGTTTTGTATTTAAATGTATTTAAGAGACAGCTAATTATTTTTAAAATGAAGTAGTAGAAATAGCATGGACTTTGGAACCAAGGAGTTATTAGCTATGTGACCTTGGGCAAGTTACTTAGCTCCTCTGAGCCTTGGTTTTCCCATCTAAACGGAGGTGATGATCCTACCTTGCAGGATTGTTGAGAGGATTGAGACTTAGTAACATAAGGTAGGTTGCTGAACAAATTGTAGTTTTTATAAACTGCAGGTCAGTGATGGCTTCTTGACATATGTGATTATAGTCTGTAGCATATGTGTAAGTAGGTCATTATTTATTCCTTACTTTTCACCATAATAAATTTCTAAAAATTCAACAGTTACTCTGCTATAATTAAGAACAATTAAAATACAAAGATTTCCTCCCTTAAAATACAGAAGTAAATCCAATTTGAAAAATCCCTTTGAATTTGATTAGAATTTTGTTTTCTTAAAATACTGTTTGACATAAAATATTAGGCTTCTTTTTTTTTTTTTTATCTCTGAGCTCTTAGAAGACTAAGAAATAGTTGAATTCAGAGGCAGTGCACAGATGCATACTCTACTGGCATTTGAACTGTGAAGCAAAAACGTTCACATTTGAATGTGGAATCAGGTCTTACAGGCTACAGATATTTTTGGTCCTAGTTTCTGTGACAGTTCTCCCTTTTCTAGAGGTTTTCCCTCTAAGCTGGTTTTTTTTTTTTTTTTTAAGTAGCTTTATTGAGATACAGTTCACATACCATACAATTGACCCATTAAAGCATATAGCAGTTTTTAGTATTTTCACAGAGTTGTGCTATGATGACCACAGTGTATGTTTAGAATGGAGCAGTGTTCTTGTTCCTCCAGCAAGAAACTCTTACCTATTAACAGTCACTCCCTATTTCCTCTTGACTACCATCCCCATCCCTGTTGTTGCTGTGTGTTGTAGAGTTGATTCTGACTCTGGGGACCCTATATGACAGAGTATAACTGGTCCATAGTGTTTCCTAGGCTATAATCTTTACAGGAGCAGATCGCCAGGTATTTTTACCCCGCGGAGCCACTGGTGGGTTCAGACCCCCAGCCTTTTGGCTACCAGCCAATCGCTTAACCATTGCACCACCAGGACACCTTTCCGCAGCCTAGGCAACCACTAATCCATTTTTGTCTCTGTAAAGGAGCCTATTCTGGACATTTCATATTAATGGAATCCATACAATATGTGGTCTTCTGTGACTGGCTTCTTTGACTTAGCATAATCTTTTCAAAGGATTACTCGTGTTGTATCATGTATGATCAGTACATCACCCCTTTTTATTAATAATATACCATTGTATGGATATATCACATTTTGTTTATTCATCTGTTGATGGACATTTGGATTGTTTATACCTTTTGGCTATTATGAATAATGCTTTGAGTGGTCATTTATAAATGTTTGTCTGGACATATGTTCCCATTTCTCTTGGGTGTATACCCAGGAGTGGAATTGTGGAGCATATGGTAACTCTTATGTTTAACATTTTGATGAACTACCAGACTGTTTTCCAAAGTGGCTACACCGTTTTTGCATTTCTTCTAGTAATATATGAGGGTTTAGTGTCTCTGCATCCTTGCTAACATTTGTTATTACCTAGCCTTTTGATTATAGCCATTTTATAGTTTTATTATTATAGCCATTCTAAAACCAAAAACCAAACTTATTGTCGCTGTAAGTTAATTTTGACTTATAGCGACCCTATAAGACAGAGTAGAACTACCCCATAGGGTTTCCAAGGAGCAGCTGGTAGATTCAAACTGCCAACCTTTTGGTTAGCAGTTGAGTTCTTAACCATTGTGCTATCAGGGCTCCATAGCCATTCTAACGAGTATGAAATGGTATCTCACTGTGGTTTTGATTTGAATTTCCCTGATGACTAACAATCTTGAGCATCTTCTCATGTGCTTATGGACCATTTGCATATCTTTGTAGAAATATCTATTCAGATCCTTTTTTTCAACAGTCATGTCATTTGTGTTTTCATTATTGAGTTGTAGTAGTTCTTGATATGTTCTAGATATGTCTCTTATCAGATATATGATTGGCAAATATTTTCTCCCATTCTGTGGTTATCTTTCCAGTTTCTTGATGATGCCTTTTGAAGCACAGTTTTTAATTTTGATGAAGGCCAATTTATCTATTTTTTCTTTTGTTGCTTGTGCTTTTGGTGTCATACCTAAGACACCATTGCCAAATCCAAGGTCGTGAAGATATACTCTTATGTTTTCTTCTAAAAGTTTTATATTTCTAGCTTTTACATTTGGGTCCTTGATCCACTTTGAGTTAATTTTTGTATATGGTTTGAGGTAAGGGTCTCACTTCATTCTCTTGCCTTGGATATCCAGTTGTCCTAGCACCATTTGCTGGTACCATAGAATTATCGTGGCACCCACTGAAAAATTAGTTGACTGTAAATGCTATTCCGTTGACCTGTATGTCAATCCTTATGCCACTACCACACTGTCCTGATTGTGTAGTAAGCTTTGAAATCAGAAAGTGTGAGTCCTCCAACTTTGTTCCTTTTCAAGATTGTTGAATCCCTTGAGTCTCCCTGTGAATTTTAGGATCAGCTTCTCAATTTCTGCAAAGAAGCCAGGTGGGATTCTTCTAGGGATTGTGTTGATCTGTAGATCAATTTGGGAAGTATTGCCGTCTTAACAATATTAAGTCTTCCAATCCATAAACATGGGATGTCTTTCCATTTATTTAATAGGTCTTTAATTTCTGTTGATGATGTTTTATAGTTTTCAAAGTTTTGTACTTCTTTTGTTAAACGTATTAATAAATGTTTTATTATTTTTGATGTTATTGTAAATAGAATTCTCTTAATTTTATTTTTTGATTGTGTATTGCTAGTGTATATAAATACAATTGTAATCATATTGATCTTGTGTTCTGCAAACTGACTGAGCATTTTTATTAGTTCTTAAAGTGTTGTAGTGGATTCCTTAGGTACAAGATCGTGCAATCTGCAAGTAGAGATAGTTCTACTTCTTCCTTTTGAATCTGGATGTCTTTTATTTCATTTTCTTGCATAACTGTCCTAGCTAGAACCTCCAGTACAAGGTTGAATGGAAATGGTAAGAGCAGACATTCTTGTATTGTTCCTGATCTTAACAGGAAAGCATCCAGTTTTTCACCAGTAAGTATGATGTTAGCTGTGGGTTTTTTGTAGATACCCTTTATAGGGTTGAGGAAGTTCTCCTTTTCCCAGTTTATCGAGTGTTTTTATCGTCAGAGAATGTTGAATTTGTCAGATGCTTTTTCTGTATCTACTGAGATGATCATGTAGCATTTGTCCTTTATTCTATTGATATGGTGTGTATTAACTGATTTTTCATATGTTGAACCAACCTTACATTCTTGTAATAAGCCCCACTTAATCATGATGTAGAATTCTCACAATTGCTGGATTTGGTTGGCTAGTATTGTATTGAGGATTTTTTGTCTATATTCATAAGAGATGGTGTCTGTAGTTTTCTTTTCTTGTGATATCTTTGTCTGGTTTTGGTGTCAAGATAAAACTGACCTCATAGAATGAGTTGAGAAATATTGTGTCCTTTTCTGACAGAGTGTTTGAAGAATTGGTATTAATTCTTCCTTAATCCTTTGGTAGAAATTCACCAGTGGCTGCTTCTCCCTGAGTGACACCCTTTCTGTATGAGTGGAGTGCTGGGTAGGGGCAGCAGCCTCTGGTCTTCTCAACTTGCCTCTCCCAGTGTGGAACCTCCACCCTACAAGCAAGCTGGGCCACGGGTGATCGGTGCCCAGTATTCTCAGCCTGCCATCCCTAGTGTGGACCATTTGCCCAACTAGTAGGGGCTGGGTGGGGTAAGAAAGCCCTAGACTTCTCAGCTGTTCTTGCCTAGAATGAAAAAAAAATAACAGAAAAAAACCTGTTGCCATCGAATCAATTCTGACTCATAGTGACCCTGCAGGACAGAGTAGAACTGCCCCATAGAGTTTCCAAGGAGCGCCTGGTGGATTTGAATGCCGACTTTTTTGTTAACAGCCGTAGCTCTTAATCACTACACCACCAGGGTTTCCTTGCCTGGAATACAGCCTCTGAAACAGGGAGCTGGGAGGATGAGGAATGCTGGTGGCCTGCCACTCCAAGAGAGACACTGCAGCTGGGAGCTCTGGGGGAGGGAGCCCTGTCCTGACTACCCAGTAGGGGTGGCACTTGCCTTATGCTGAGCTAGTGGGAGAGGGGGTGATGTAGCTCGAATGCCACAGACTCACTGTTCTTACCCAAGATTTAGTAGATTTTCTAGAATAATGTTTCTTTATTTGCCATATGCCTTTAGGACAATTTTCAGATACAGTCGTCTCTCGGTATCCATAGGGATTGGTTCTAGGACACACCCTGACCCTCGCAGATACCAAAATCTGAGGACGCTCAAGTCCCTTACATAAAATAGTGTAGTATTTGCGTATAACCTATGCATATCCTCCTGTTACTTTAAATCGTCTCTAGAGCGCTTATAATACCTAATCAATATAAATGCTGTGTAAATAGTTGTTATACTGTATTGTTCAGGGAGTAATGACAAGATGCAAGATGAACAATGCTCAGACAACGAGTGCTGGAGAGAGTGAGGATCTGTGAAATGGTGGGAGGCTACAGCCGGGCGTGCCCACACATCATTGCATTCACGTGGATTCGGGGTAGTGCTCGGGGTAGTGCTCAGCGCACGGCAAATTCAGGTTTTGCTTTTTGGAACTAACTTTTTTTCTTCAAATATTTTTGATCTGCGGTTGGTTGAATCTGTGGATGCGGAACCCGTGGATATGGAGGGCCGGCTGTACTTAAATGTTTTTTTTAAAAACTAATTTTTATCACTCATGTTTACTTCCTCGAGGAGAGTAGGGGCCCACAGAGCTTCTCATGCTGCCGTTCTGAAGTCATTCTTTCTCTCTGGGCTGTTTTCAGGCATCTCAGGAAGGGATCTCATGGAGGAGGTGGTTTTGATCCATTGATAATTATGCTCTTACTCATGTTCTAGATTCTGGAAAAGCTTTAAAGTAGAGAGATAAACTGTGTCTTTCAGAGACAATTCTTCCTGGTTTGTATCACCTCCAGGACCTAGCTGCTTATAGTACTAGTTTCTTTGGAATTAAGAATCTGATTTAAAGAGAAAGGCCAGAAAAGATTTACTCTGCAGAAGGAAGTTTTCTGCTGACTGGTTTTAATCTTCTGGGAGTGCAAACCTCCGTCATGGGAAGGCCTCACAATTTCTGAGGCCTGTGGTGGCATATAGAGCCTGATTTCTCTCTCAGCTAATAATACTGTGTGTGGGTGCTCCCTGGGAGAGGGTTTGGCCCAGAAAAGTCTGAGTGGCTGGTGTGTGTCTTACCTCAGTAGGAGTCAGAGCCTCCACGGCTAGATGCTCTTTGAGGCCCTTTCTGTGTGTTGTTGAGTCCTGAGTCCCTGTGCAGAGTCAGGGGATCGCCCACCTGACTCCAGAGCTCTCCCACTGTACTGCTTGCTTTTGAGCCCCGGACCCTTAGCTCCTGGCATTCTAAAGGCTAATGCTGTTTTCTGTCCTACATCCCCCCGCCCCGCCCCCCAGGCATGGTCGCAGAGGAGTACAACGCCTTTTTTTATTCGCTGGTATCCCAGGACACGCAGGAAATGGCTTACTCAACCAAGCGGCAGAGGTTCTTGGTGGATCAAGGTTATAGCTTTAAGGTATGTACCTGTTTGGTGAGACTAGGACCAAAGCTTTTGGGAACCCTGGCTTCCAGGAGAAGTGGGGGTCATCGTCAGCCTGAGAAGAACCTCTGGCAAACGCCAAACATTAGGAGACCGGGGGCCTTGCTCCAGATGCCCTGTCTCTGCATGTATTGCTGGGGCTTTGCAGGAAACTGCTGTGCAGGGGCCCTTCCCACCCTCATTTCCCACAGCGAATGGTCACAGGACAGGGCTGAGGGAGGCATTTTTCTTCTTCAGAGGATGCTAGTTCTTGGGGGGGGAATGTAGCTGGCCTGGTAGGATTTGCAGTGCCAAGGAACTGTGGCTGTCACTGTAAGTGTGAGCCCCCTGGAGCTGCTTTCACAGGATGCCCCCTAGGAGGCTGTTGAGTTCCTACTTCAGTCACCTGGTGAGCCCAGGCTTTTGTGTGCCTCCCAGACATCAGCATCCTCCATGCTGAGAGCTTCGCGTTGTTCATAAATAACTACAAACCAAGCATTTGAATAACCTGGGGCATTTCAGAGTTGTGGCTGACTTTTATTGGCTGAGGCATTGTTTTCTTTCCTGTTGACACAAATGGTAGGTTTATGTCCAGATTTAGTGTCCTACAGGGTTTTTATTTGTGAGAGGTGGGCGGAGGGTGCTGGAAAGCAGGGGAAGGAAATTCCCTCTGTAGTTCACTAAGAGGACATCCCTAGAACACACAGACTCCCAGGTTCTTGATTTGCCAAAGACTGTAGGCTGCCTTTCAGGTGATTTTGACTTGTGTCTCTTCTCTAATTGGGAAGCATTCCCAGCACTTGCCCTTTCCTTTTAGCCAGAGGCAGAGGCACTTTTTAGATCTCTCATGCTGGGCTAGAGGACAGACACTTAGGTTTTGGGCCCAATTTTCCTGATTTGCATTGTGACCTTTTATCTGTCTGTGAAATGTGTAACAGTATCCACATCTCCGGATTCCTGGGAGAGTCATAAGGGTAAGAAGTGTCGAGTTCTTTGAAAAGCAGGCTCCACCCAACGGCCACGAGCGTGTAGTTGTCTGTGTTGGTTGGAGCCCTCTTTGCTGTCCTCGCCTCCTGTGCTGCCTCCCGAGGGTGGCGGGGTCAGCGTTCCCAGAATCGGGCCTAGGGTTCTGGGAGAGGTGGCCAGCCCAGGGCAGAGGTATACGTTGGATCTCTGGCCACCTGAAGGAGTCCATCAGGTCATGACTTCTAAGAGTTTCTTTTAATTAAAATTATGAGAAGAATCAGGGGTGAAAAAGAGTTCCCTTTACATAATTAATCCAAGCCTTAACGGGCAGACCTCGGGGTAAGTTGTTTCCTGTAGAAATGAAAAACAGATCTCCACCATATGTTAGCTTGCTGGCTCAGAAAACATCTTGTAAACCATACGTGACATCCTGTGGTTTTTGAGGGTTCCCTCTCGTGGGCTGCAAAGCCAGCACGTGGCAGGGCCCTTCTCAGAGGGCAGCAGGTTTATGCCTTTCAGTCTTTTGTTCCTTCCTTTACTTGGTGCAAGATGGGAAAACCACTATAATGAATGTTTTAAAATTCACCAAGATTCCTGTTGCTCAGCTGTAAGAGATCATTTAGTTGCCGTGTGTTGGGAGCAGATTTCCCCGGACTTTCCCTAATCTCTCCTGTCCTGCAGTCATTTGTCAGGCTGTCTACTAGAGGTGGCTCCTGAAGCTGGTCTCGGGAATGGCAAAGATGAGCTCTCCTTGTCAGCCAGCCTGGGCGGTGGGCCTGAGGGAGGCAAGTGACCAGAGCCGTGAACCCAAGAGAGGGCACAGAAGGGCCAAGGAGAGGAAACAAAAGGGAACCTGCCTGCTGTGTTTGCTCTGCAGGTGATCACAAAGCTTGCTGGCATGGAGGAGGAAGACTTGGCATTTTCAACGAAGGAAGAGCAACAGCAGCTTTTGCAGAAAGTCCTGGCAGCCACTGACCTGGATGCTGAGGAAGAGGTGGTGGCAGGAGAATTTGGCTCCAAATCCAGCCAGGTGAGTGGGTGAGGCTCCAGATGCCGGTCACCTGAGGGCAGAATCCACACACACACACACAGATGTGCACATGGTCTCATGTATATGTGATTTATTTTTAAAAACTTAGAAAACACAGAAACAAGGAGAGAAGAGAACTGTAGAAGCAGCCGTGATTGGCATTTTGGTGCCTGTCCCTCCTTCCACACATACAGTGGGGCTTAGCTGAGCCCAGGTGGCAGCACAGCAGGCTCCTGCTGGGTTTCCAGAATGACAGTCCAGAAGAGCATCTGTCAGTGTCTTGATATTGGAGCCCAGGGTAACAAACGAATGTCCCTGGGTGCTCACCAGTGGCTGCTGGAGGGTACATGATGGGCCTGGGACTCAGAAGACAGGTGTCACCCCTAGGCTGCCGTTGTGAGCCTTGGGCAGGTCAGTCTTCTCTGGGCCTAGTTTCTTCCTTGTTAGTAGAGTTGAGCCTTCCAGTCTGGAAGGTAAGTCTGATGGTCAACTCATGGTGGCTTCCAAAGTTATTTTGAAAAATTTAGAGTCCTCTGGAAATACTCATCCTTGCATTTATTCTGGAAATACTTATTTTGAATGCCTACTAAGCACCAGGCACATATAATATGGTATTATTAATAACAGCATCATTATATAGAGTTTGGTAGGAAGAATGAGAGTCAGACCCTTCTGAGGAGAGGAGTGCATCACTTTAGTGCTGTCTGCACACATGCCCTGTGCCCTGCTCTGGGTCAAACCCTTGACTTACATGATCTCTGTTCACAACCATCTGGGAAGGCAGACAGGGTTAGCCCCATTTTATAGATGAGTTCATTGAGGCATAGAAATTAAGCACTTGTCCAAGGTCACCCAACAAGAGGTGGAATCAAGATTCAGGCCCAGTGCTTTTTGACTTTTCACTTGATTCACAGCCTCATGATGGAGTCTCAGAAACCTGGGGTGACTTCTTCCCTCAGTGTTAATGAATCCTGTTCAGAAATTGTCATTAAAAGAAACAGGACCTCTGAAGCCAGACTGCCTAGGTTCATCTCCCATCTCCTTAGGAGCTGTGTGATCTTAGACAAGTTACTTAATCACTCTGTGCCTTGATTTCCTCTTCTATAACATGAGGGTTCTAATATTTGTGAGGATTAGATGAGTTAATACGTGTAAATAAGTGTAAAATGCTTAGAACAATGCCCGAGACATAGTAAGTCATCAGTAAAAGTTGTATAAAATAACACACATTGTTATTTAGGAGGTTATTTGCAAAGGAGTGTCTTTTTCCCCTTGGAATCTAACAGTGGTGGGTTCTCCCCTCCTCCCGCAGGTGTCACGGCGCTTTGGCACAATGAGCTCCATGTCTGGGGCCGATGACACCGTGTACATGGAGTACCACTCGTCGCGGAGCAAGACTTCGTCTAAACACGTGCACCCACTTTTCAAGCGCTTTAGGAAATGATGGCCGCATGCAGTTACTGGATGCTTGGCGTCAGCGTTGGATGGGATTTCCAGAATTTCTCCCCACACCCGTGGACTTTCCCCCTAGTGCTGGCCAAACCGACCTAAGTTCACTGTCTGTTGACCATGTTGAAAAGACATCAAGGACTTGCTTTTGTCTTCATAGGTCATCCAGGGTTTAAATAAAAGTGGGAGACTATTTTTTTTTTATCTTTCAGACCACTTTCTGAACTTGTTGGGGGATGGTTCATTCCTGTATATAAAAACATTGTAATATTTAAAATGTATTTATCTTACTGTTCTCTGAATACAAAAGAAATGGGAACATTTCTTTGTCTTCATTAAAGATGTGTTTTTATGTCCGTCATAGGTGTGGGTTAGGTCTAGATGATGAATCTCCATCAAGGCTCCATTTGGCAGCAGACACAGAGGAGTAAGATGGAGCTCAGTTCTAGGAGCTACTGGGGACAACGCAGCCACTCAGTGTTGAAGAATTGACAGGTGGGGGGCCATGAGGAAATAGGGAGGTGGTTTTCTAGGCAGAGGGAGGGGCTGGAGGAAATCTCAGTGTTCACTGTTCAGCTAGTAGTGTTGGGGTGTGATGTCAGTGGATTTAGATCGGGGAGTCAACCCCTGCAGCTTCCTTCCTGGTCATTGGCCTTGGCTGTTTCTCACCAGGCTTAATCTGTAGTGGGCACGCAACACATTAGGTGCTCCAGGTCACCTAAAGACCATCCCTTCCTCAGGAAGCCATTCTGCACACAGCTCCTGGTGGTTGATCTCTGAATGATCCTATTTTCCCTCCAAAATACGTTTTAGATATTGCTGGGAGGGTGGATTCCTCTTCTAACTCCAGTTTGGTATCCAGGGGTCTTTAATGACTAGTTCTTTTATTCTTAAAATGTCTTGGGCTTTTTCTCTCTTGTTGCTCCTGGTATGAAAGAAAAGATGTTGAGGAAAAGATAGAAGGCAGGGTTGCTGCATGAAAGAGACACAGCCTAGGCCACAGAGAATAACTTGTCATTAGGAGAAGGAGGCTTGTTCTAACAGGCAACAGTGTTCACACCTAGGGAATGTGAACCCATGTGCTGAGTAAGGCATCAAAACTAAATTTAGGCCCCCACCCCAGCTCAGCTGCAGCATTTCATTTCCTGAGTCGGCAGACCCAATATTTATACTGCTGCTCTGTGAAGCACCAGCATACCACGCTCTGGAGAAGGCAGTATCCCTTTGTTAGTGGTTTGAAGCAAGAGCCATCTTCCCCAAATTCCACTTCTCTGAGCCGACCTTTTGGGGACACACGGTCTCCTCTTAGTCTAGTCAGCAGTTGGGGCCGGGAGGCAGCTAGCCCCTCTGTCAGTGCAACCCCCCAGGAGCATGGCAGTGGGGTCTCCTGCTTCAAGGAGAGAGCCTGGGCAGCCACACCTGAGGCCTGAGCTCGCTTAGGCCTGCGCACCTGCCTGTCAGCCTCAATGGATGGCACTCACATGTCTCAGACTTGATGTAACCGTTCATACATGCAGATTCTCATCTCCTGTCACACCTCTATATTTGATCCACTCAGCCTGTACCAAACACTTCTTGTGTGTTCACCTTCCTGTCCCTTGTGCTCACTATTGCCTTGTTCCCTAACTTGGCCATGTGTCATGGTTTGAATTATGTCCCCCCAAAAATGTGTATATCAGTTTGGCTGGGCCATGATTCCTGGTGCTGTGTGATTTTCCTATATCTTGTAAATCCTGCCTCTATGATGTTAATGAGGGAGGATGGGTGGCAGTTGTGTTAGTAAGGCAGGACTGGATCTACAAGACTGGATTGTGTCCTGAGGCAATCTCTTGAGATATAAAAGAAGTGAGCAGTGAGATAGGGGGACCTCATACCATCAAGAAAGCAGTGCTGGGAGCAGAGCGAGTCCTTTGGACTGGGGTCCCTGTGCTGAGAAGCTCCTAGTCTGGGGGAACACTGATGAGAAGGCTGACGAGAGAAAAAGCCTTCCCCTGGAGCTGACACCCTGAATTTGGACTTTTAACCTACTTTGACTGTGAGGAAATAAACTTCTCTTTGTTAAAACCATCCACTTGTGGTATTTCTGTTATAGCAGCACTAGATGACTAAGACACCATGTAACAAACTCCTTTTTTATTCTTTAAGAGGTAGTTGAGATGCCACCTCCAGGAAGTCCAACTCCTACTCCTGCCTCCCAAATTCATTATTTCCTCTGCTGTGCTCTGACCCTATTGCTGCACTCATGTTGTCCTTTTTTTTACATTTATATCCTCAGTCTGAGTTCTATTTGTGTACCAGTATCTGGCAAATAATAGATGCCCAGTGAGTTCTTTTCCCTTCAGAACCTTTAATTCATTACCTAACCAACAGAGGAGGTCAGCTTCAACCAAAATAAAAGGCCTGCCTTATTACAACACAACAGAGCAAAAGCAGAACTGGGGGCAGAGTTTAGCCTCAGTTCTTTTCAGAGATGACCGATCACGTATTTATACACAATGCTCTGTTAAAAACTGACTAGCATTGCACCACCATCACAGAGTGTACAGAAATCCTTGGGGCTTTCCACGTGTCGTTCCTATAGTCTGCCTCTTGCTCAGCCATAAATGGGTTATTGCTCTTTTAGGGAAAGGGTGGTCTGCATGTTATGTTGAGTGATGGCATCATCTGTTTACTCTGGAGCTTTGATGGGGAGGTGACTCAACTCATTTTCTTTCCTGAATCTGTTTGAATATCTAAAAAGTGTCCTGGGAGATAGGTGGTGGTTCTGTAACAAAGTTTACAGGGTGATTGTGTAGGTCTCTAAGTACTTAATCCTGTTGTTTTTCAGAAACCTTCGCACCTGGGCTCCCAAGAAGCAAGCAAGGCAATATGAGCACCCAACAGGCCTGTGAGTGAAGTGCCTCTCAGAGCAGTCATCCAGGGAGGGGAGAGGGGCAAGGTGGAGATGTAGGGGTTGGAATCTTCAAAGTTTATGTATTTAAAGGAACACAATAATCCTGCGTGCTGATGCCTTGGGATTTGTTAGTGAACTGCTCACTAGTAACCATCTACCACATGATCCCTCCCACCTTTCTCCTGAAGCAGCCCCTGCGCACCATGGCACATAGAATTTGCAGGACAGCATACCAAAGACAAGAGCTGCACAAAACTACAGAGATTTGCATAGGGTCCCTCTTGAGTCTGTAACAAATACAATAACAAAGGTGGGTGTGTCTTTGGAAGTGGGCAGAGGCTGGAAGAATTTCGAGATGCATGTTAGAGAAAGCCTAAATTGCCGTGAACAGACTGTTAGTAAGAATCTGGACTTTAAGGACTGCCAGTGATTGCTTAAAACGAAGTGAGAAATATGGAAACTGGAGGAAAGGGGGTCCCTATTATAATGGTGCAAAACTTAGCAGCACTATCATCTGCTGTTATGTGGAAAACAGAACATGTAGCTAATGAACTTTGTGATCTAGCTAAGGAGATTTCCAAGCAAGGTGCTGAAGGTGCTGCCGGCTGTCTTCTTCCTACCTATATAGTAAAATGTGAAACAAGATAGATAAATTAAGGGTAGAACTGTTAAAAAGGAGCTAGGGATGGATGGTTTTTAAAATCCTTAGCCTCTCCCAACAGCAACTGGTAACAAAAACAGTGGAATTCTTGGAGATTAGACATTGCAGAAGAAAAGATTAGGGTATTTGAAGACATAACAACATAAATGTGCAAAATGAGGCAGGAAAAAAGACCAAACAAAATGAATGGAACATCAGTGAGCCATGGGACAACTTCAAGCAGACTTGTATTTGGAATTCTTGGAGGGAGATAGGGATAGAAAAAAAAGTGGATGAACTAATAGCCAAAAATTTACCAAACTTGATGAAAATTAACCCCCAGACCCAATGAACTCTGAACACAAGAAACATGAAGGGAACTACACCAAAGCACATCATAATCAAATTGTTTAAAACCAGTGATAAAGAGAAAATTTTAAAAACATCCAGAGAAAGAAGACAGAGGAACAAAATAAGGTTGACAGCAGATTTCTCGTCAAAAACTATGCAAGTCAGAATACAGTGGAGCAACATATTTAAAGAACCGAAAGAAGAAGAAGAAAAAAAACCCCTAGAATTCTATACCCAGTGAAAAGATCTTTCAAACATGAAACTGAAATTCTTTTTTTTTCCCTTCTAAATTTTATTTATTTTGTCGTTGTTGCTGAGAGTATACACAGCAAAACATAATACCAATTCAACAGTTTCTGCATGTACAATCTAGTGACATTGGTTACATTCTTCAAGTTATACAACCATTCTCATGCTCCTTTTCTGAGTTGTTCCTCCTTCACTGATGTAAACTCACTGCCCACTAAGTTTCCTATCAAATCTTTCGAGTTGCTATTGTAAGTTTGATCCCATATGGATAGTTCTTAAAAGAGCATAATGCTCAAGAAAGACATCTTTTTTACTACTTAAGATACTATTGTTTGATTTTAAGATGATTTCAGAGGATATTTTTGGTTTAAGGTTTAAAGATTATCTCAGGGCAATAGTTTCAGGGATTCATCCACCCTCCATGGCTCCAGAAGGTTCAGAGTCCATGAGAATTGGAAATTCTGTTCTGCATTTTCCCCCATTTGATCAGGATTCTTCTATAGAATCTTTGATCAAAATGTTCAGTAATGGTAGCCGGGCACCATCCAGTTCTTCTGGTCTCATGGCAAAGGAGGCAGCTGTTCATGGACACAGTGAGCCATACATTCCATATCCTCATATTCCTGATTCTCCTTCTTCCTCTGTTGCTCCAGGTGAATAGATACCAATTGTTGTGCCTTTGATGGCTGCTTGCAAACTTTTAAGACCCCAGGCAATAAGCAATGAACTAGGAGGTAAAACAGAAGTGCTAAACATTTTATTAGGCCAATTAACTGGGATGTTCCAGGAAACCATGACCCTAAATCTCCAAACCAAGGAACCAAATTCCATGAGGTGTTTGATTGTACATAGCAGCCTCAGTAGCTACTCTTTTTTTTTCTTTGCCGTTATTGTAAATATATCTATCACAGAACTTTTACCAATTCAGTTTTTTACAGGTGTACAACTTATTGATAGCAATTAAATAATCAGCTGTACAATCTTACCCTTAATGCGATTTTTCCATCACTGTTAATTCCCCTTTCCCCCCTCCTTTCTACCTCTGGTAACCACTAATAAACTTTGTTCTCTATACATTTGCCTTTTCTTGTCTTTTTATATAAGTGAGGTCATACAATATTTGTCCTTTTGTGATTGACTTATTTCACTCAGCATAATGTCTTCCAGCTCCATCCATACTGTAACATATCAAGACTTCATTTATCTTACCGGCTGAGTAGTATTCCATTGTATGTATGTACCACACTTTGTTTATCCATTCACCTGTTGATGGGCATTTAGGTTGTTTCCACCTTTTGGCTATTGTGAATATTGCTGCAATGAACATTGGTGTACAAGTCTCTGTTTTCAAGTCTTTTGGGTATATACCCAAGAGTGGAATTTCTAGGTCATATGATAGTTCTATTTTTAGTTTTTTGGGGGACTGCCACACTTTTTCTCGCAATGGCTGTGCTACGTTGCATCCCCACCACCACTGGATAAGAGTTCCAATTTCCCTACGTCCTCTCCAACATTTGTTATTTTCTATTTTTAATCATGGCCATTCTAGTGGGAGTGAAATGGTGAAATGGTATCTCATTGTGGTTTTGATTTTTTTAAAAATTTTTTAAATTGTACTTTAGATGAAGGTTTACAGAACAATAGTTTCTCATTAAATAGTCAGTACACATATTGTTTTATGACATTGGTTAAGAACTCCATGACGTGTCAACACTCTCCCTTCTCGACCTTGAGGAACTTTTTTTTGGTGAAAATATGCAAAGCCAAAGTTACACCATTTCAAAAATTTCTACATGTACAATTCAGTGACATCGATTACATTCTTCCAGCTGTGCTGCTATTTTCACTGTTTCCAAATTATTCCATCACCATTATCTTCAACTCACTG